ACCCTGGGGTCCTGTTAGCCCAACCTTCACGTTGGGATTGAAGCTGTAAATGACTGTCCCAGCCCTTGCTGAGGTGAGCTGGGACTGTGCACGTGGATCATTGCAGCAGATCACCTTGTGGGCAGTAGCTTTTAAATTCCTCTGGAGCAGATCACATGGAATCCTCTGCCCAGATTCCTTGGCAAGCACAGAATGGGGATAAAACCCCATTTCAAACATCTGTTGTTCTCCCAGGGCTGCTGCTTCCCACCACCGTTTTGGGAAGGTGTTTGGCCTGTCAGAACTTTCCTGTGAAAGAAGTGTGAAGAAATAGGGATGATGTGCTTAGATCTGCCATCGTCTGCTGCAGTCACAGGAGGCAAGAGCTCACTGCTTATTCCATAAAAGGGGAAGGAACTCTGGCAAGTTTAGAAGCTTGTTGAAAAGAAACTGGGTAGCTGACAGTGGAAAATGTCTGTTGTCTCCTGCAGGCAGGGAAACAAGGAGGTAGACAAGTAGGAAGCTTAGAGCAAACAGGATATCAGGCTTGTAGAAAGAAAAAAGCTGCTGTGCTCAAGCGGGGAGGTGAAAGAGAGTGTTAGAAATAAGAAGACATCTTTCAAGAAGTTGAAGTTGTCTGATTGAGGAAAGTGGGGCAAAAAAAGAATGCAAATCCTGCCAGGCTGAAAGTAAAACCACCATAAGACAGGACCAAGAAGACAGCTTGAGGAACAACTTGCAAAAGCATAAAATCCTGTTTATTCATTTTCTGAGCATATCAGACAGAAAGTCTTTCAGGGTCAGTAGCAGATCAAGGTAGAGAAAAAGCTCTTGGAGAAGATAAATCCACAGGGGAAAAAAGAAGTGGCTGCCTTTGTGTTCAGTGGGGAGGAATTTGGGTTAGTTTGTGACTCAGAACCCTGCTTTTTGGGGAGTGGCTCAAATGGAAAAGAACATACAGCCAGCAGCCTTAACTTGGAAAAAGGATGGAGCCTGTCTGAGGGTGAGTGGGACAAAACTGAATAGAATGGCCTGAACTGGAAGGGACCTTAAAAACCTAACCTGATTCCACCCCCTGCCATGGGCAGGGACACCTTCCTCTATCCCAAGCCCTGTCCAACCTGGCCTTGAACACTTTAAAGGATGGGGCAGCCACAGCTCCTCTGGGCACCTTGTGCCAGGGCTTCCCACCCTCACAGGGAAGAATTCCTTCCCAGTATCCCACCCGACCCTGCTCTCTGGCAGTGGGAAGCCATTCCCCCTTGTGCTGTCACTTCAAGCTCTTGGAAATTGTCTCTTTCTGTGTTTCTTGTAGCTCCTTTAGGCACTGGAAGGCCACAATGATTTCACCCCGAAGCTTCTCTTCTCTAGGCTGAACAATTCCAAATCTCCCAGCCTTTCCTTAGAGCAGGGGTGCTCCATCCCTCTGATCACCTTTGTGCTCTCCTCTGGACCTGGTTTCCTGCTTTTCCCAGTACAGAATGGGGTCAGCACATCAAATTAGGAAAGGGTTCAAAGCAAACCCACATAAAATCTCCAGAATATTGAAAAATGTTCATGTGTCATTGGTGTTCAGAAATGAATTGCGTAAACTCCTTGAAATAGTCCATCAGGAGCTACTCAACACCTGTGCCACCTTTGGCTTAAGAAATTCCAGATATGAGCTGATTCCAGAGGGCTGGGATGCTGTTCTGGAAATGCTTTTGGGCATCTGACCAGTGCCAGTTAGCCTGAGCTCAGTGGCCCTCCCTGTTACTGCTGGGCTTGCCAGAAACACCTCAAAAGTTCATAATGAGCAACAGAAATTATGTGAGGTGTGCTTATAGGTGAATTTTTCCCTGATCTCCACCCTCTCCGGTGCTGTCAGAACAGAATTTTGTGTCCTTAGTGCTTAAGCACTGCTTGCTAATCTTAATTTTCTCCCTTTTCAGAGAGTTTTTCAGCTTTCCCTGAGGGGAAAGTGAAGGCAGCCCTGGAGCAGGGTGGTTATGGTGGTGGGATTGGGAATTTTGTGTGACTTCTCCAACTCCTCCAGGTTCTGCCTTTGGGGTTCAATATTATCACATTCACTTGGTAAAAGCCTTTTCTGGTTGTCTCTGCAAGGTTCAGGATCCAAGCCTGGCTCTTCCTGATACATCTGGAGGCTTGTTTGGATAGTGAAGACATGGTAGAAGTATAATACTGTAAAAAAAAAAACAACCACGTGATTTTTTTCCATATTTCCCTGCTGATGTTTCTGTTTCAGGGATCAGAGGAAACAGTTCCAGACAGTGGTAGAAAACAAATTCTATGAGTGGCTGGTTCAGACAGGGAACCGGCAGCAGCTGGACAGCCTGGTCCCTCCTGCCACGGGCTCCAAGCAGGCAGCAGGATAACATTCCTGGGCAGGACAACATTCCTGGGCAGCTGAAGGAAAAGGAGGTGAGTAAAAGGCCTCCTTCTCTTGCTTCTCTGCCCCCAAGAATTGTCCCATGTTTGTGTGCACAGCCAAGGCAGAGGTAGGAAAAGCAGGAGTCTGTTGAGTGAACGCTCTCTCAAGAGCCTGGCTCTTGGGTTTAGTTCTTACTTTCCTGTCAAAACCCATTTTTAGCTGAAATCTGTGTCCTCAGCACTGCCTTGTTGTCAAGTTTGATTTGTTGGAGGCATCTGTAAGGCAGATGAGCATGTTGCACATAATGTGAAATAAAACTGACTGGAATAGCTGCTCTTTCAAAGAAACTGTATTGATGTCTACCCATCTCACTTTTTGCTAAAGAGAGTTGAGTGAGACTTTGGGTTGTTGTTTCAATGAAACTTGGGGTAATTCTTACAATGAGACTTTGGATAATTCCCAGTCTTCCCAAGCAGAAGGGGTTCAGGAGCTGGAGACCTGCACTTAGTGTGCTCTTCTGCCATGGCATGTTTCAAACCATTAGAAAATGGTTTTATTTTTAATTTAGCCTTTGAACTCCTTTTTCTTTGCTGGTATTAGAAATAAAATTATCTCCTTTTATTTTGTTCCAGAGCTCTGAGAACAGGCAGTGATCCACTCAGCCCAGTTCTCATGAAGACTTTGTGGCCGTCCCACCTGCACCCACTGGATCCGACACCCAGCCCTGGTGTGGATTGGACTGCCCAGCTCCTGTGGGATTCCTGAGCACTGCTGCCTTCCCAGGAATGTGCTGCAGCCATCCTGTTGGTGTCTGAGAGGTGCCTGGCACTGGGGGAAGATGAAGTGTGCCTTGTTGCAGAGCTGTCACCACAGTTAGTGTCCAGCACACCAGGTTTCCTGAGACAAAGCTGGATGCAGGCCCTGGGCATCACCTGCATCCTCATGGTACAAACCAGTGGTGCTGTTTTTATAAATGTGAAAAAGAAATGTTAATATTTTTTATGAATGAAATCCAACAGTTTTTTTTTTATATGAAGATGGCACTTTTTGAAGATTAATTTTTGTATATGGTTGCATCGTTTTGACAAATGTCAATAAACCAGATTTGTTGGATAAGCCTGGCACATGTCTTGGGGAAGGGGTTTTACCTGTACAGTTGGTCTTGGAGAGACACTGCATCTTTTATCTTAATGAAATGTGAAGCTGTCAGGGAGAGAAACTGCTAATTTATGGGGAAAATGGGGCAAATGTAAGTCCTGCCAGGCTGAAAGTAAAACTCGTGTAAACTTCAGCCATGGAGCTAAAGGTTTGAAGGCTGCCCTGGCACGAGGATTTGATACAAGCCCTATTCCTATCTCTCATAATTTTCATAAAGATTATCAGCTTGAATAAGCACCATTCTCATGTGCTGGTGGGATGTGTTTTGGGGAGATGTGCTCATAGCTGAGCACCTAAATAAGCTTGGAAAATAGGCAAAGGCATTGCATGGATGAGTGGAGGCAGCAGCTGGTGGTGCCTGGGGAAGAGCTATCCAAGCTGAGAGTCAGGGGAAGGCACTGTTCTCTGGAGGCTGCACAGCCTAAAAATTCCTCTGAAGGTCTCCCTTGGCTCCTGGGCAGGCAGGTGAGGTGAGTTTATTATATTTTTTTCTATTTATATAAGATGACTTTGTTGTATTTAACCAACCTCCAAAGGTTGAGAAGTGACCACAGCTTTGAGCTGTGAACCTGCTGACAGAACCCAGCTTGTGCTTGGACTCTGATCTTCAGGAATTAAAAACTAAATCAATCCAAGTGGCCTCAGTGAGAGCAGCAGCTCTGGGTGATTCAAGGCTCCTAAAATGGGAAGAGGAGCAGCTGCTGAGTGTGTGCCCCGGGCTCTCCCATCTGCCTGCATTTACAGAGCTGCTGTTGCGAGAGTGCTTGTCCTGACAGATTTGAAAGAAGGGCTGCGTATTTCGGGCGCTGCTGTGCCAAATTCGTGTCCCTTTGTCTCACTAAGCCTTTGGGCTGGGGCACTGAATAGCTGCAGAGGTGGTTTTTCATAATGCACTGGCGGGGGGGTGGCTGTGGAAGCCAGTGATCCTTGGCCTCCCTGCTCCCAGGGCCAGAGTGTGGCCGAAGGGAAAATCCTCTGCTCCGACCTCAGGTGCTGAGAGCTGGGAGCTGGGAGTTGAATTTGTGACACTTGAAGAGACAACCAGAAATCTGAGTATCGTTTGATGTGTGAAATCACTCACTTTGTGGAGAGGTGGCCACACACTCTTCTTTCCCTCTATGTTAGGAGGTGTTTGGAGCAGTGTGGCTCCAGCTGAGGGTGTCCCAGGAAAACCTGCAGCCTCTTTGCTGCACAGACGTTTCCATTGAGAGCTTTCGATGCAGAGCTGATCTTTGCAAGCCTCTGATGTCTGCTCTGAGCACTTGTTTATCATTCCTTAACTGCATCCTTCACTGCACTGGGACATGTCCTGATGAATATCATGTGCCCTCCTTACAAATGAGGTGGGTCTCTAAGAGCCAACGAGGATTCCTTCTTGTTTAACAAGCTTGGGAGGGAGGGAGCAGCCAAACTACCACCCATCCTCCTGGACTTGGCAGGGGGCTGCGTGTTTTGAGTGCATTTGGCAGAGTTTTGGTGTTCTGACTCAGCAAATGGTAACAAAGGGAGGATGGTGAAGCCTTCCTTTATTCCATAATCCTGTTTGCTTTTCTGGAAATCGGCTATAGCCTCAGAATCACTGACTCAATTTTTGGATCCCATTCTCATGACAAAGCGGCTGTCTGGTTTAAAACAAGCCCATTATAAAAAGGGCACCTCGGATCCTGGCTGTTTGTAACAGCTGCTGACATTCCTCCGGCACAGGGGAGCTTGGCTGGAACGGAAAATGTCCAGAGCTGGAACCAAGGTAAGTTTATTTGCAGTGTATTCTTGATTTTGGCTAAAAGTGCAGAATTTCACAGGGATGAATTGTGGGGAAACTTTGTTTTCTTTGTTTTGCTGACAGTTTTCCCCTCTGTCAGGGTGTGGGCAGGGGGAGATGCTTGAAATCCCTCCTCACGTGGAGGGAAGCTGGAGCTGAGCCCTCTCAAGTATTTTCCCAGATTTTGGCTGGTTCCTCTAGGTGTGGCTCTGCCAGAGGATGGAGTCAAGTGCAGTGACTGGTGAGGGGGCATTTTGAAGTGGTTCTAAATCTAAAGCAGGATCTGATGCCTTGTGAATCAGGGCTGGAGGGGGGCTGTGCCAGTGGGAATCAGGAGTCTCATGGAAGGCTCCCTTGGAGCCTTGGGAGAACCTGACTCCCAGCACCAGCAGAGCTGCCACATCCCTTTCCATGCTGGAGCAGAGGGTGTGCTGAGACAGAAGGAGTCCTGGATGATGGCCATGGCACTGAAGGGAATAGTGTTCTCTGAGGGATGCTCACTGCCTTGGGATTCGGTGCAGTCGGCAGGGATGAACTGAAATTGGAGAAGGAGGTAGGTTGGGAAGCCCAGCTTGAGCTGGAGTGACATCTCGGGTGGGGATCCTGCTCCTCAGGCTTGGGTTTAGCAGAGCTGAGCTGGCTGATCCCACAGAACTGGTACTGGGTCTGGGACTGGGCAAGGAGAAGCAGCTGGGAAAGGGAAAGG